GCATTGGAGGATGACCCAAATTTATACAATTTTTGCCCCCAGAATTAATTGGGTGTCTTTGCTAAAATCTGTGAAAGAGAATGCTAAGTTGCAGCTTTTTCCATATAGAAGCTTGTTGAAAGCTTATTGAGTCTTTAGTCTACTGTGCCAAAGGTACATTGATTTTTTTTTCTCATTTTGAGTGTTTTATTTTGTAATGTCTAGCTGCACCTTGCCAAATTGCTGACAATTCCAAACTGGTTTATATCATCTTGCTATAACTTGAAATGGGCAAATAACTCCTTAAGACATGTAAAATCCTGGTTGAGAAAAAAAAATCTCTAAGTTAGAGTTACTGCAATTCAAAATGAAGTTACAAATTTTAAGGTACAAACAATCTCAAAACAGGAGTCATTAAAGAAATTTTCTTAAGGTGAGAATGCTATACCTGTACTCAATAAACTTATTATCTACATATAAGGCTAACATGATTTGTAGAAATAAGGCACTTCAAATATGCAGTCATATATTCACAGATACTGGTATTTTGACAGGAAAAAAAGGCACTGACTTCAGTACTGTCTTTTGTAAAATAGTAAGATGTAGGGATAAAAGAAATTCTCACACTATTGTCTTCCAAATGTGAAGGCAAAAGATTTATTGGCAGATGTCAAAAACTCAACAAAATTTTTAATCTGAAATCACGTGTTGAAATATTTGCTTGAAGATCTGTTCTGTTCGACTGTAAGTAAATTTTGCTAACAATTCAAAGATGAAGAAATTATCCTACAAGAAACATTCATACTCTCACGATTGTGTTACTTTTATCTCTCTCTCTTTTTCTTTTTCTTTTCTTTTCTTTTCTTTTTCTTTGTCAGTCTTGTGGCCTGAACTCTGGGCCTGGGCGCTGTCCCTGCGCTCTTCAGCTCAAGGCTAGCGCTCTACCACTTGATCCACAGAGCCACTTCTGTTTTTTTCTGCTTATGTGTTGCCGAGGAATCAAACCCAGCGCCTCATGCGTGCAAGGCAAGCACTCTACCACTGAGCCACCTTCCCAGCCCTTATCTCATTTTTTTTTAAGATGTTTACAGGCAAGCATGAGCAATCCAAGTAGTCTGAAACTTGAAGAACTTTGTGGTGTGTTATATCCTTTCCTTTCTTTTCTTTCCAAAGTCTCAATATAAAATGTGTATTTTGTGAAAGAGCCCTGCTTACAATCAGTATGAAATTTACTATCACACTTGTTTGTTTAACAATTAAAACAGTGAATGGTGATAGTCAATTCAGTGCTCAGCTATTACTAAATATGACATATGTGAGACACTATGCCAAAAAGTGTACGGTCACTAATCACTTATTTTTTTTCTACAGCAAAATATTTACACAAAGAAGCATAATAACAATGTTTATTCTCCAGTATGTTATATAATGAAATCCACAACTCCCAATATTTCTTTACTGATTCAAACAACTCTCTCTCTTTAAAAATGGAAAAGGCCTAAAAAGTCACCTAATATCATCATTATAAAGTACAGAAAAATTAAAAAACATTGAGCCAGAGGAAATGGCTTTGTGATGTTTAGTGAAATGAACCCAAGATGGGGACACAAGTTGTTTTTTCTTTCTTGCTATTGTTTTTAACATATCTAAAATGTATTATGAGATTTTTTTTGTTACTCTTGTATGTTCTTCCCCATTTTCATTGTATTTGATTCCAGTGCCCTGCATCTTGTATCTACAATTTTCTAATTTGGGGAGGGGAAGGGAAATAACAACAAGGATACAGGTTGACCTATTGTAACAATGACATGTACAAGACAATATGTTGAAAACCAACTTTACAACTTAGGGGAGGGTAGTTGGGAAGGTAGGGAGGGAAGGGGTGGTTAGGGGAAAAACAAAGGAGGAGGTAACAATGCTGGATAGGAAATGTACTCATTACCTTTCTCATGTAACTAACCCCTCTGTATACAATAAAAAAACATAAAAAATCCGAATACAACATTTTAAAACTAAAAAAACAAACAAACTTGAGCCAGACATGTTTGCTCAAGCCTGTAATTCTAGCTGTTTGGTAAGCCAAGATTGTAGGATCATGGTTTAATACCAACTTTAAAACAAACAAGATCCCATCCAATCAAACAAGGCTAGTTGTGGTAAGGCATTCCTTATCCAGCTTAGGGGTATAAATAGGAGGATCATGGTCAGAACAGCCAAGGCAAAAGACAAGACCCTTCCTCAGAAATTAACAGAGCAGAAAGGTCTGGAGGCATTGCTCAAGTGGTAGAGCATCATCTTTTTTAAAAATAAGTTTTTTTTATTGTGAAAATACTGTACAGATGGGTTACAATTACATGAGCAAGATAATGAGTACATTTCTTATCAAGCATTGTTGCCTCCTCCTTTGCTTTTCCCCTACCATCCCTTCCCTCCCACCTCCACCACTACACTGTGCCCCCCACCCCCCACCCCAGCCTGGCCTAAATTGTAAAGTTCATTTTTCAACATAGCGTCTTGTACATCTCATTGTTGCAATGGGTCCACTTGTATCCCTATTTAAACAATTTGATTTTTCCCTTCCACTTCCCAAATTATACCAACATCAAATACAGTGAAAACAGGGGTTATATCATGGGGGAGGGACATACAAAGCAAAAAAAAAATCACGTGGTGCATTATAAATATGTTAGAAACAATAGCAAGAAAGAAAAAAACCACTTGTGTCCTTATCTTGGGGTAGAGCATCTTCTTAACAAGGACAAAACCCTGAGTTCAAACCTCAGTACCACCACAGAAAAGAAAAAGAAGTTGAGTAGGAACATTTTAATTAAAATATTTTTAGAATCCCTAATAAAAATAAGAAGTTTATGTTGCATGAATTTGAGAGGTATTAATGGCACATGCTTCTTTACAATAACCCCAAGTTTGCTAATCATCTTCAATCACCATTTAATACATATGCACTATAGAGAGCAAAGGCAATATCCAGTGTTTACAGTTGCCAGAGATCCAGTGACATAATATACCTCTGATCAAAAGTTAATCAGCTTTAGAAGGTAGTGGGTGGAAATTACTAAGTGTAAACAAATCTTTTTAATCTTTTTTGACATTAAGATCATATTGCACATCATATCACTTTTATCCAGCTAGGATTATTTAAGCTCACAGTGGCAAATGAGCATTATTAAATTGTTGACAGAAACTTCAGGTAAGAAATTTGGGAATCTCATGTCAGTCAATAATATATATATATATATATATATATATATATATATATAATTTGGACTTCTTATGTACTTGCTTTTCAAAGAAATGTCAGTTATTATAATACTGTGTTTAATTTTGGGTTTGTTTATTACTTTCTCTTGAAAGCTTTCAGTACCATTCTGACATAATCAGAGAGGTATATCTGCAGATTTTTTGTTTCAAAAAATTTAAAAGGTACCTAGGAGGAGAATCATAAGGTCATTATGTGAGTTTTGTCTAAGTGTGAATTTATTGGCCTATTTAAGAATTTATCTTGTAATTCTAATTCTCTCAAGTTGAGAGTTAATTTGTTTCTTTACTGACACATCCATAGAGGAGAACTGAGTTGATACATGGTAAAGATGAAGCTGAATTTTACAGTTGATCACTATATAGAAGAAGATACAAGATCTCACCATTCCATGGAATTTTATTGTGTAATACTTAATATAATAATTTTTATTCATATTTAATAATATTAATATAGGCCTTAAAGGTAGATGTGTTAAGTCTTACACAAATTATACAGTTGATTTTATTTTCTTGAGAGGAAATAAATAACATTTCATTAAAGAAGTCTGTCACGTGACCAATTATATAGAATATATCTTTGTTACTATTGCCTAGATAAAAGTTTAAATATTCTAGATTCCTTTCAAAAGCATTAATATTTCCCATTTCATGTCAGAATAACTAAAACAAGTTTAGAATCTTACTGTGGCAAAAATTTTTAGTCTCTTAAAATATTTTTTACTGGTGTGATTCCTTTATTTGGATTTCTATTTAATTGAAGAACACAAATCAATATGAAATTTTATCTATGTAGTTCTTAATGCTGGTCACATTTCTGAGGTGTGGAAACAACAAAAAGTTTAATATATGTTGCCTTTGTGAACTCTGCTAATTGTACATATCAAGGTGGCTCTATACTTCAAAATCAGTGTCAAAATCACATCGCTCATGGAGACATTCTCTGCCACTTTTTTTTTAATCCCCCAACACTGTAAGCAATCTCTACCCAATATAATATTTTACATGTGTCATTTCATTTAAAGACACATGTCACTTTCTCAAACAACAACCAAGAGGATCACAGATGAAAGCTAACAAATTTTACACATGTGATATATTTGTTGCTTTATCAATGTAAATATTTCTTTAAATGCATAGTTTTCTTCTATTTGTGTTATCACATAATATTTTATAATACCTATTGTACAGCTACTGTTTCATAAAATTAACACATATTATGGTGATGATTATATTACTATATTTTGTTGTTCACTCACATCTGAGTGCAAGTAGTATTTAGTCCTTTCTAAGGGAACAATATCTAAGCCTAAATGTATACTTTAAAAAAATACTAAATGTAGAGTTGAGATATACAGTGTCTTCTAAAAACTTAGTGGGAAAAATTTAACAATTTTTAAATGCAAAAAGAAGGTTAAAGGAATGAACTCAGGAGAAAAATCAGAGATAATCATAATCTAAGCTGGAATAATGGTTAAGAAAGGCACATTCTTCTTAACCCTATAATGACCATAAATATTGAACTATTATTGAACCACAAAATAATTCAATAATAAACTCATAGTTGTCACAAAATATTGCACTACCAAATTGTATACTTGACTGGTATTTGGTAGAAAGCAGATCCTAAGGTGTTAATGATTTGCGTCAAACCTGAGCAATTTTTTTGTCTTTTCTCTGTACACCAACAGACACAAACCTCATTTGTTTCACATCTCCTGAAACTTTCTACTTGGAGACACATTATGTTAACAAACATTCTCCTATTGTCTCTTCAAATCAGTCTCCTGGGAACCAGCCTTGGTGGGAACATTCTGATTTGGCCAATGGAAGGTAGTCATTGGTTAAATGTTAAAATAATTATAGATGCACTCATTGAAAAAGAGCATAATGTGACTGTCCTGGTTGCTTCTGGTGCTCTTTTTATCACACCAACGTCAAACCCATCTCTGACATTTGAAATATATGAAGTGCCCTTTGAGAAAGAAAGAATAGCAGAAGTGATCAGAAATTTTGTTTGGACATGGCTGGAGAATCGACCGTCTCCTTCAACCATGTGGACCTTCTATCACGAGATGGCCAAAGTCATCAAAGACTTCCACATAGTGTCTAAAGAGCTCTGCGATGGTGTTCTTAAAAATGGAAAACTGATGGAAAAGCTGAAGAAAGGAAAGTTTGAAGTCCTGTTGTCTGACCCAGTATTTCCCTGTGGCGATATAATAGCAATAAAACTTGGAATTCCTTTTATCTATTCCTTGAGGTTTTCCCCTGCTTCAACAGTCGAAAAGCACTGTGGAAAGGTGCCATACCCCCCTTCCTATGTCCCTGCCATTCTCTCAGAACTCACAGACCAGATGTCTTTTGCCGATAGAGTAAGAAATTTCATCTCCTACCATCTACAAGACTACATCTTTGAAACTCTCTGGAAACAATGGGACTCCTACTACAGTACGGCTTTAGGTATGTAGCAATTTTGGTCTTCTTATTTGAATATGAACAAGCATAACTTTAAGTTGCTCTATTATTATCCGCTATTGTGTCACTATTATATGATAGAATGAAGGCAAATTTAAAATAAAAACATACAGCAGAACTGCAGTGCTATTTTATGATTTTATGTGCTGGATGGTATTAACTCAATAAATACAGTGACAACTACCTTATAGTTAATGAATGAACTAGACCTCATTTAGATAACACTATAAAATAGTAATTGCATAAAAACTGTAGTTTTATATAGAAAAAGCAAGAAGATTTTAAACTTTTTATGAGTTAGTATAGACCTTGCAGTGCATGTTTAAAGGTGTGTGTGTGTGTGTGTGTGTCTGTGTGTGTGTGTAGTTTCTGATCACTGCTTAGTAAAGATAAATGGCAAAAATTAAAACATTTGAAGATTTATCAATTTTATTTCTAAGGTATGAACTTAAAGGAAAGCAAATAAAATCAGGCATTGTTATCCCTATTAATCTAACTTGAATTCCTGAAGTATGATATACTGTTTATTAGGTGGAGAAAATAGAATCAATACTGATTAACAAAGAAATTCTACAATTAAAGGAGTTAAGTCTGAGGATTTGTGAATTGAGTATGTACACAATGAAGGATAAGGTGTAATAATTGAAGACAGGTATATATCTGGGGATAAACAGAAAAGTAATTAAGTCATGAAAAAAATACCCAAAGAGCAAAGAGTAAAAATAATTAAAACATACACACACACACACACACACACACACACACACACACACACACACACACACCTAAAATAAAAATGTTGAAAAAATAGAAAACAATTTAATTTTTTAATTAGGTAGAAAAAAAGAGTTCTTCGATTTTTTTTGGCTGGAGTGATCTTGTGTCTCCCCTGTGTCCATAACCAGTCTCTTGGTGGAGTCTCTGGTTTGCTTGTAGTGTTTGGTTTTCCTGTGGCTTGATTGTTTTCTTAAATCAGTTTGTTTGAGCAGGCAGAAAGAAGCTCTGCTTTCCCAGGGACTTTATGTCCCTCCTCCCAGGCTAGTTCAGTGGGAGGGCATCTTGTATATACATTTTTCTAATTTGAGGAGGGTGAGGAGGGAGGAGTTGAGGAGGTGGGAGGGAAGAGATGGCAGGGGAAAAACAAAGGAGGTAACAATGCTGGATAGGAAATGTACTCATTACCTTACTCATGTAACTGTAACATCTCTGTACAGCATTTTTACAATAAAAATATACAAAAAATTAAAAAAAAACTATGTTGAAGAGCTGGGATATGGTTCAAATAATAGAACACTTGCATAGCAAGCATAAAGTTCAAACCACAGTTGAAAAGACACAAAACTGTACTGGGCATATTGATGTGGTTATATTGTCTAAAAGTCATCTTAATATATAGGCTTTTCCCGTTTCACATGCATCTGAATTTTATTGTTTACTCTTTACTGATGGTACATTTCCTACTCATTTTTTTTATCTTTTTTTTTGGGGGGGGGCCTGGTTGTGGGGCCTGAACTCTGGGCCTGGGCGCTGTCTCTCAGCTCTTCAGCTCAAGGTTAATGCCCTACCACTTGAGCCACAGCGTCATTTCCGGCTTTTTTCTTTTTGCTTATGTAGTGCCTCATGCATGCAAGACAAGTGCTCTACCACTGAGCCACCTTCCCAGCCCTTCCAATTCATTTTCTATGTCCTCTCTAAGCTAGGGAGATTAATTGAATAGATGAATTTCTTGTCTGTCTCCATGAATTTTAGAGTCTAGCAGAGCAGTGCGACATGAAAACGAATAGAGTACATTGTGTAGATAATATGCATACAAAATACAGAGACAGTATTGAAGAGATGAGGTTACATTACAGGAAGACCATAGTGGCGATTCCAAAACTCTTCAAAGTTGAGGTGAAGCATGAAGAAATGTGTAAGCAGTAAATACTGGTGTTCTTGTAAAGTGTAGAGAAGGAAAGGATGTCTGACATGGGAGATCTCAAGTAACCAGAGATTTACTGGGGATTGCTGATGACTTCCTATTTGTGAAAGTTCAAGTATGAGGCATGGAATCCAGCTGAGGAAAAAAATAATTATGGTGATGTCATTATTGTAAAATTAGTTTAACCATTCAGTTTAAAATTTCTATTGTATGTTACACTATTTTCTTCCATTTTTAACCTCATAATATATTGAAAACTACTTAAAGGGATGTTTGATGATTACAGTTACCTTTTATATCAAACTTTGTGAAGAACCCAGAGTAGTTGGTTACAAAGAATGAGAGCCCAGAGTAATTATTTAGTGTCGTCTATAAAAGAATAGTGAGTATGTTCTTTCACTCATCTGAAGGCCTCTTTGTCATCTTGTTTATTGCTTTTCTGTTACAGGCAGATTGCTTGATCATTTTTCTACTTTCATATCTAATATATTCCTGAATGAAATATTTATAAATGTAATTATCTTAAAGGGACCTAGAAATATTTCACAGTACATAATTGTAGCACACTTCATACAGTCTAAATGCTATATATTTACTGTTCGAATTTGATTCCATGATAAAATTCAGAAATACAGACCTAATCCTAAAGATAACCAGTTAAAGAGAGAATGTCTCCTGCAATTGATAAGCTAACTTTCCCTGATAGTTGTTAAGCTTTGAGACTTGAACTTCTCCAACATCAACATTTTATTTTAGGCTTTTACCCATTTTAATGATGTAATAAAGCTAAAATGAAGAAAATTTCAATGACCTCAATGTTGTTGTGTATCCACTAGACACACTGTCAGGTTTCTACTAAGTAGAGCTTCTATATTCTATTTACTATGTATGGTTAGTAGCTAATATGTAAAAATAAAGAATAAAATTTAAATTTATTTGAAGATGACAAAATGCAGTGTGTAGTGGTTAACATGAATATTATTATGAGAAATTAGAGATTCCTATGTAATGATATTTGTTAACACACAACATCTTTTCCACAAACTTGCTCTAAAACACTTATAAAATTGATTTATTGGAATCAAAATGAATATGCACATATTAGAATGTGGATATATGTAGGCTACTAACCTTCAATAAATAAGAGCAAAATTTGCTGAGCCAATTACAAATAAATACCACTTATTGTCAGCAATGGTCTTCATCTTATTGGGTATGGCAATTAATTGTGTTGAAATATAGAAACAAATGTTATGTCTCAGATATAAAGCAATTTGTAAGTAGTTCTGACCTCAGAGAAAAACAGAAATAGCTAAAATTATTATATGTTAACTTACAAAGATAAAAGTAAATGGATCACCATATTAAGACAAAATTGTCTCATTAAAAATAAAGAGAAGATAGCCAGCTAAGCATATGTGGCTTACACCTGTGATCCTAGCTACTCAGGACACTGATATCTGAGAATTATGGTTCAAAGCCAGTCTGGGTAGGAAAGACCCTGAGACTCTTATTTCCAATTAACCACCAGAAAACCAGAAGTGTTGCTGTGGTTCTACATAGTAGAGTACTAGCCTTAAGCAAAAGAGCTCAAGGACAGCACCTAGGCCCTGGGTTCAAGCCCCATGACCAATAAAAAAAAATAATAAAATAAAGAATGATGAAGAATAAATGGAAATTTTATAAAGCAATAAAACTGAAAAATTGACAAAAGCTGTTATATTAGGTAAACTAATGCAGGCATCTGAATGTATGCAGTAGGTCAGTTGAAGCCCAGATTAATACTGAAGTATTCTTAGGATAATTACATTTTATCAAACCACGTCTTTTTTTTTACTAATTACTCTTTATCTCATGATTATGATTGTGATGGTGATTATTCCCATGAGTGACTTCGTCCCTTGGGTAATCTTCTCCAGGCCGAGGTCCCAGAATCTCACCTTCTATTGTGTTGTTGGTAATGAAAGCACATTACTTTCCCAGTCTCAAAACCTGAGACTAATCTTTCTTTATGGAAACACAAAGAGGAGTTATTCAGATTCTTTTACACCTGAGTCTTACATATTTCTAATTGAATTACATTCTTCCTATTTAGCATGACTATATAAGTTTGTATTTACTAAAACAGTATTACTGAGGCCAAGGGCATTGTTGCTCAATTTTAAAAGACAAGGTAAGAAGCCAAAATAGTGACTTAATAGAGTAGCTTATTTTTGTGTAAGACATTGTAGATGTAGAATGTGTTAGATGACAATGATGAATGGAATGACATGGCTTGTAAAACTTCCTTCCAAATAGTCTCAATTTATCTCTTTCTCTTAAATGCTTTAATGATTTTTCTTAATAATGAGGCCATATCCACTCAGGTCTCAAACAGTCACACCGAAGTAAATAATGAGACCAACTTTCCCTAAGATTATTTCTCTTTGGTAGAATGTAATAAGAAGCTCAGAATGGGTCCTTAATCTTTGTTAATTAGTAAGCATTGGGTATTATAATGTCAGATTACTTATTTCATTTCAAATCATAGGTATTTTATTCAAACTCATGGATATATTAATAGTAAAAGGCCTTAGTATTTGTTGGAGTTTTTCCTATCCACTAGAGACTGTGATAGAAGATTTACATACATTTTCTTTCTTAATCATTACAATGAATAAGTTGTCATTTACATACAAAATTACAGTGCATATAATTTGTCTTTTTCAAAATCTCAGTGAATTTCAAGTTCTAGAATTATTGCCTCCTAATTTAAATTTCAGGTGGAAAACTATGGATTACTAAAAATAGTTTTGGTTTAAACATCCTTGGTGCTTATCTTCTTCTTGATATAGTTCTTGAAAGCTGCTAGTCTATTTTCCCTACTCTTTATTCACTGTATGAAGTTAATTGGGCCACATTGTTACTAGGTAACACATTCCTTAAGGAATAGGGCTCTATTATAAACCTGTTGTCTGAGATGTGTTGTCTGAGAATATTCTTTATGGCTGTCAGAGAGAGGTTGGCAATCTCCACCTAAAAGCAAGGAAAGGCTCTGCAAATGTCAAATATGTTATTTAAAATT